GGCCCCCGCCTGCGGGCACCGCCGCGGGGGCCGCATGGCGTGCTGCTGGACCCGCCGCCGCCGACGCCGTCGAGGTGCCAGTCAGCGCCGAGGAGGATGTTGCTGCGGCTGCCACTGCCGAGGCAGCCCGCAAAGCGAGGGCAGCTCAGCGTGCTGAGAGGAAGGCTGCAGAACGTGCACGTCGCCCGGATGGCCAGCAGGGACTGCGAGACGCGTTGGCTCGCCAGGCGTCAGCGCGGCCAGGTGCGTGCAGTCACCGCGGCCGCGGAGCCCTGCCACCGTCGCCGCACGGCCGTGCCGCCGTCGCCGCAGAGGCAGGAGACGATGCCGTTGCAGGTGCAGCCAGCCGCCGCCAGAGGCACAGCCGCAGCCACAGCCCACGGCGCGAAGCGCCAGACGGCTTCATGCTGTGCGGCGGCCGCGCTGGCTCCACCGAGGGCAGCGAGGGGGCGACGTCGACGCTGGGGTGATGTGTCATGGCGTGCGGGCCACGGGGAGCGAGAGGGCTGCCACTGAGCCGTCTCAAAGTCCGCCTGCGACTGGCGCTGCGCCAGTCAGGCCGACTGACACTCACCTCGGATGGCGCCCGCGGCCCAGCAGCAGCCGCGCTGCAAAATTCCAGATTGCACTGATCTAGTCAGGCTACTGTGTCAGCCCTGGCTATCTTGCTCTCTCACTCCCGTCTTCTTTACCTGTTTCCCAATCTCCGTGTCCCCCGCCGCCCCCACAGCCCGTTGAGCTCACACCAGAATTGCGTGTCCTAATTGCTGCCAAGCGTGCGCAAAGCTAGAGAGCGACGTCGGATTCGACTCGCCCAGCGAATAGCCCCATGGACTTTCCAACCCAGTTTGGGGGTAGGGCTGTTTGATAAGGCGCACGAGTAAATAGGATGTTGGGTGGCGGGCCTCAGGTGTTGGTGGTGGATGGGTAAGGGATCGCATCTCAGTCAGGCACTTTGTCAGTCCTGGCCTTACTCTCACAACTATTTCGTCTTTCGAGCCTTGCGTTATCTCTTTTATCTCACCTCCCTAGCAGCTCACAGTCACCCGCGCCAAGCACACGGCACTTGGGTGGGCCACCGTCTTGGGGTGTGACAGGCGAGCGGCTGACAGTGGGGTACTTGTGTGGACGTGCTCTGATCTCTCTGCCTATGTTGCCAGTGTTTCGAGCTTTGCTAAGACCCTGCCTTGTGGCTGGTGCTATGGTTAATGCGTGCCCTCCTCGTTTGGCCAGCCCCGTGGTGGTATACAGATAACCCCCACCTCATCTGCCAGTTTCGAGCTGAGCTGGAATCACGTCCTCTGAATGAGCTTGCATTCCATAGCCGTCTGACCTCCAGAGTTGCGCCACAGCAGGCCTGACTTTCACGTGGATCAGTTTTGCTGCAGACAGCCTCTCTTGGACCATGGACGTGTGTCTGTCGGCCACCTTCAGTTTCCATGAGTATCCGATGGCCGCAGTTTTAGGTGATTTTTGTAGTATGGAGGGAACGTTGGGGGATTGGTCGAGGTGTTAGCAGCCCGGGGCTGGGTAACAGCAAGCGGAGAGAGCGGCAGCCCGCCTCTTTTGTTCTTTCATCGCTTCGGCCTGCCTGCAATGCCGGCCCGCCCTCTTGCCCTCTCTCCCTCTGAAACCAGATTTTTCAGATAATGACAGCAGTCGTATTGCGCAACGGTTGCCATCTCGAGCGTCAGCCTTGTCGGCCGAACCGAGGGTCGATCCGTGAGGGGAGGGGTCCATAGTGGGCGCTCCGAAAGGAACTCGCGAAGCCCCCGCCCCACAGCGGCTCTCGCCGAGGTAAAGTCGTTGAGGTCAGCGGCTTTGAGAGCCACAGCGGTCGTGAAGACCGCAACGCGTAGTCGGGAGAGGGCTGGGATTGGTAGTTCGGGCAGTTGGAGGTATTAGCAGCGAGGCAGTGCAGCAATAGTCAGAGAGAGCGGCAGCCCGCCTCTCTTGCTCTTTCTTGTGCACGGCCTGCCTGCAAGTGCTGTCCCGCCCTCTTGCCCGCTCTCTCTCTGAGACTAAATTTCAGACGGCGCGTAACAGGTTTCATTGAAAGCAGTTGACGCGCGCAACTGTCGCCAGCTCGAGCGCCAGCCTGGTCGGCCGAACCGAGGGTCGAACCGTGAAGGGGGCGGGCCATAGTGGGCGCTCCGAAAGGAACTCGCGAAGCCCCCACCCCACAACGGCGCTCGCCGAGGCAAAGTCGTTGAGAGCAGCTGTTTTGAGAGCTGACAGCGGTCGAAGTGATCGCAACATGTATTCGGGAGGGGGTTGGGTATGTCAGATTGGGCGGACGTGCTGAGATCAGAGAGTCATGTGCCTGCCTCTCTTGCTTCTTTCCGCCGCCGCCTCCTTGCCACCCGCTCGCCTGCTCTCTCTCCATCGTCAACCCGGACAGAGGCGCGCCCCCTCGCGTTTCTGTCATCGCCCGACCGTCAAGCTTCAAGCCTTGGCCCGTGGGGGGCAGCGGCAAGGGGCTCGGTGAGCGTAGTCCGTCGCTAACCACGCACCCTCTTGCAGATATGGATGGGAGTGGGAGTGGCTGGTAGCTTCGTGGAGGGGTTAAGTCAGCGAGTACATCTCTGTGAAGCGTGATTTTCTGGCGCTGCCAGGAATACGCCGAGAGCAGCCGTGCAGGATTACCCACCCTGTCCGCCGCCAATTCCTGGCCACGGCTAAAAATTTCAATCCTTTGCCGCCTAGTGCCAGACGCTCTGCGTCCACATGGCTGCCTCGCACCCAGTTGCACGCGTAGTTAATACTATGGGACTGGGTGAGATTCGTGGGGTTAGTCAGGTTGGTTGGAGGAAGTTACTGTCTGACTTGACTTCAGGTGCCCGTGCAGAGTTTGCGAGTTTCGCCTCTTAGCACAGCCACACGAGTTGACTGTGCTGACTGCCTCTGCTAGCTGCAGCGCCGCCATTAGCTGACAGGCCATGCGCTTCATCAGCAGCGCAATCCAAAATCGCCTCACCTGCCCTTCCCTTCCGTTCCTCTTCCATCCCCTACCGCCTTCTCGTTCCCACCCTGGCCTCCGATTCCACTTCAGCCTCCTTCCTCCCACTACAATTTTTTTCGAATTACTATGTAACCGACTCCACCTCATCCTGGATCCCCAGCTGAGCACTGACCAGGCCGGTTTCCGACCTCACCGCAGCACGTGCGACCACCCGTTCACGATTTCACAACTCCATGAAACAACCGACGCGTGGCAGGTATCGCTATGGACAGCAGCCGTTGACTTCAAGAAGGCCTTCGACACAATCACTCATCAGAGTATTTGACGAGCCCTGGCTGACTAGGGAGCGTCTTCTGCTTGCGTATGTGCAACCATTGGCGAATCACCGCGATGGACAGACAGACTCCGTCCAGACAGACAAGAAAAGCAGGGATTTCCACATACAAATGGGCAGGAAACAAGGCACCCCTTTGAGCTCACCAGTCTTCGATTGCGAATCTGACCATGCCATGCGCAAAATCCAGCGAAAGTGGTCCTCAAAACGGATTGGGCTACAACCATGCCATGAGCATGGGCGACTCGGCGCTGTTGCGACATATCACGGGAGGTTGAAACATCTTAGCGAAGACGTTTCTAAATCAAGTTTCGAATTACTTCCAGACAAAATGAATATTCTCAACGGATTCCGGAACCCTCGCAAAGAGAAGCGCCGAGCATCATGTGTCACTGGGATGCCAATCGAGGTGTTGCCGCCGTACCATGTTACGAAAGCATCTCGGGGAACGGCTTCGACCCAGTGAATTCCATACCGCAAGACCAGAGAGAACCCGAGTCGGATGGAATGCACACGCTCTTTCAAGTACGACAGGAGTTAATTGGGAAACATGGTTCGGAGCGCGGACCATGACAATGGACATGGAAACCGACTTCGAAAATGGCGCGGACCATGACAATGGAGTTAATTGGGAAACATGGTTCAACCAACGAAGATCCGGCTGGTTAAGAAGCGCGGACCATGACAGTGGACACGGGAACCGACTTCGAAAAATGCAGAGCGCCAGATGTCGCGAACGATGCTGCGCACACGCAGGCGCCGAGGTCAACACACCGACCCGGTGAGGCAATCTGGAGGCAACGCCGGTCTCGAACAATATGGGTGGATTGCACGCGACGGTCTACCAGAGGAGCTGGAGAAACGCTGGGACGATTGCAAACCGACGACTAGATATCCCAGGGGTGGACCTGAACGGTGTTTTGGCGATTTCGTGGGCCGTTTTCGTTCCGATTTCGTTTTGCGTTGAAGGCGGATTGAAGACAAAACGAGGGAAAACGAAAACAAAGCGAAAACGAAAAACACCGTTTAGGTTCAGCCCTGAGATACCCATCAAGCCCGCGAAGATTGAGATGGGCCGGGAAAGCGTGCAGTTCGGAAGCAGACGAACGGGCATCGAAGGCTCTACGATGGGACACACACGCAAGATCCCGTGTGCCGTGCGCGACCGAGACTGCGTCACCCGAAGAGCGGTGGTGTGACGACATCCGACAGCATGTTGGGCAACAAGAGTGACGGGTGGGGGATTTGTGAGCAAAGCTATTTGGACCACGTCTCAGTTGATTTACCTGGATTTTCATTTGCAGATGTGCATTGCCATGCCTCTGTCGGTTTCTTTTCCCGCGTTTACATGTTTCACATGCATGGCGTTACGGCGCCCACCTGCGGTGCCCTAGCCGACGACAGCTGCAGGTCCGATGTCCGATATTTTCTCCCCGCTGTGCCCTCTCGTTTCCTGCCCCCGTATGCTGCCCTCTTCCTGCCCAGACCACGTCCTCGCAGTGGCGCCGCGGGGTCGTCGACCCAAGCCGCTAGACTGATCTGGCGCTGCGCAGCAGGATCCCGACCCTAGCTGCAGAGCTTAACACAAAGAGGCCTCCCCTTCTGCATCCTCCCATCCTCCATCCGCCCCCCGCCTGCCATGCGCTGTGGTGCCAAGGGTTGGGCTGCCAGGTTACCAGTCCCCGCGCGCCCGACGACCAAGAACTCGTGCGGGGGGATGCCCTCGCAGTTTCGGCTCGGTTCGGGCTGCCCCCCTTTCCCCAGGGGCAGTGCGCGAGCTGCCTCAGTCTTCGCTCAGGCAGGGCCGCCCCCACTTCTCGCGTAAAGTGGGCTCCGAGGGGCCGAATGCGGGGCAGATGTTCTGCGGCCTGCCCCGCGAGGGCCCCCTGTCCCTGGAGGAGCACCCCCTCGAGGGCCCCTGGACGGCGCGCAGCGCCCTCTCGCGGGCGCAGACGTCGTGGATGTGGCCCCTGCTTCGTGCTGGGCTGTCGAGGCCGCTCGAGGAGGACGACGTCTGGCGGGTGCCCAGCAGGATGTCCGCCCGCGCCATCGGGGGCCGCGCGGAGGAGCTTTGGCGCCACGAGTGCAAGGCGGCCAGGGAGAGCGGCGCGCAGCCCCGGCTGCTGATTCCGGTCCTCGTGGCAGTCGCGCGGTGCGCGTTGGCGCTGAATTTCGCGTTCAGCATGAGCTGCGTGGTCTTCAGGGGCAACGTCGGGAGGAGGAGGAGGAGGAGGAGGAGGAGGAGGAGGAGGAGGAGGAGGAGGAGGAGATGGAGATGGAGATGGAGATGGAGGGATGGAGGAGATGGAGGAGGAGGAGGAGGAGGAGGAGGAGGAGGAGGAAGAAGATGATGATGATGATGATGATGATGATGATGATGATGATGATGATGATGATGATGAGGAGGAGGAGGAGGAGGAGGAGGAGGAGGAGGAGGAGGAGGAGGAGGATGCGCAACCCAGATCAGGCTCGAGGTTCGAGGTTTTCGTACGGTTCTGTCGGTTCTCAGCGGTTTTCCATCCCTGGGACGCCTTCAGCGGTTGCGCCACGCTAAGGGCGTTTCTGGGGAGCCGAGCTATGGCCCGCGAACCAGGGGTCAACGCTGGGGAGGGATACAGTCGAAACCCATGGTAAGGATGGATAAACTTGCCAAGAGTACCCTTGCATCCTTGCCTCTTCGGCCCATCCTTAGCCATCTTCGATGGCCAGCTCCGCTTGCAGAGAGTCGACGTGGGCGCCCAAGGCCCTTCCCCAATCGCCCATCCATCGCAGCCCCACCCCCCCAGTAGCGTCCGGTTTCGCCATCGGCGGTCGACCGTCCGATTTGTCGGCGCCGTGACGCCGATTCCAGCTCGATGTCTCCCCCGCCTGAGCTCCGAACGTTCCCCCTCAGGAGGGAGGAAGAGGTACCCATACCGCTACCCTCGCCCCTTTTTCGCTTTTTGGGGTCCTCCTGGGAAGCCCTCGTCGCCACGGCTGGATTCGCCTCGAATTCTGGTCAGAGAGCATGTCGGTGGGGGCCCACCTGGGAAGCCGCCGAGGAACGCCACAGCTCGACAGGGGGATGGCGGAGGGCCTCCTCATGCCTCTCCCTGCCCTCGTCGCAGGCCGCCACCGCCGCTGAGGACCACCGACTCGGGTGCAGGCCCTTCTGGATCCTTGCCACGGCTTCTGCGGGTCTCCCCCGCGCAAGCCCCTGAGAGGTTGTGGGGATCGACGGTGGCGGTGCACCCCACAACGGCACACGAGTGGAGGCTGCGGCGGGCTCACGGCTGCAAGTGATGAGAGCCATGCAGCGCCGTTTCCCCCACCCGCGCTTCGCCCTCCGCCGCCGGAATGATGTCGGCAGGATGCCCCTCTGGCCGTCTTACAGTGGCATTGCACTGAGTGGCGCACTCTGCCATCGGCTGCACGCCCAGCGCCAACTCGTGCTGGAGGGCTCCGGCAGAGCAGTGAGCGGAGCCCGCCAGGGCTTGCTGGAGAGCAGGTTGTGGGGAGCACGGGGGGTCGCTGACCTCTTCTCCGAGGCGGGGATTTATCCGTATCCACCGCCTGGAGGGTCAGTTTTCGGAGCCTCGGCAGGCGGTGGATATGGACATATTCGGGCCCCGGGGGGCCGAAATGTATCCATATCCACCGCCCGCTGGGGCACCAGGACGTCGGTTCCCAGGCGGTGGATATTGGATAAATCCCCGCCTCGCATCTTCGCCGTCCATGGAGCGGCCGTCTTGCGCGGACAATCGCCTGGCGGGCGCGTCGACGCACAGAGGCCGCCGTGCAGTCCTACACGTCCGTGTCCGGCGGCCTCCCAACGAGGGCGGCCGACCCGCGAGAGCGTCGGTAGCGTCGCTCCCTTGCGCCATCTGCCTGTCCCAGGCCGAGGGCGAAGGGCCGTTGGGATCGACACAGCTCGGCGTCCACACCACCTGGACCTCCTCGAATCGAGGGCTACAGGCGGATCTGACGAGACGCCAGAGGTCCGCGTTCACACCCGTGCAAGACCGCTGCAGCCCTCCTCTCTCTCAGCCCTGAATTAGAGGGGCGCAGTCTGTCACGTGGAGCAACGGCCCTTGGAAGTGCTGCAGCGCGAGCGCGACAGCGCGGAAGCGCGGCCCGCGGGACGGTTTGCTTCCGGCCGTCCAGGCCACAGGCGACACCCGCTGAGCGTTCGAGGCTGCGGTCGGGGCGGCACATCACGACCGCCGCAGCTCCCGCGCGCCGTACGTCGCTGTTGAGGCTGCCTGCGGAGCCGTCTCCGGTCCAGCCCCTGGCCGTGATGTCGGCCGAGGGAGCGGCCGCTCGTCGTCGCTCCCACCCTCCCCCACCGTCCACTCCGGGCCTCCCCCGCGCAGGAGGGGTGCGAGACGCTGGAGGCAGGCCCCTGAGCCAGAGAGGCGGGGGAGCTGCTCATGGCCCGCCGGGGCCTGCGGGAACTGCACACCCGATGTTTCATACGCTGTGCCCCCTCGGTTGCACGGGCACTCCCAAACCCTGTGGAACCAGGTCTCGACATGTAGGCCACACCTGGGGCATGGAGGGGTGGCGTTGTAGCCAACGTCAATCTTCCGTGACAATGGTGAGGAGCCGACCTACCTCATCAAAAGCCCCCTTGCGGATCGCATGGGCAACCTCGGAGCGGATGTGAAGAGGGTCAGCCCCCTCACTGAGTGATTTTCCGTGGGGGTGAGCGGCGGCGCAAGCCCACAACCCGCTGTCCTCCCTCACGTCCTCGAACACGTCCTCGAACACGTCCTCGAACACTCGAACTCACGTCCTCGGGGCTCCAGCCTCCGAAGGAGGAGGGTCGGGGAAACGCCGCAGCCTGCACTCACCCCCCCGCGGGTCTCCGCCATTCCGTGGCTGACACGGGCAGCCAACCTTTGTCTAGGAACGTGGCCTGCACGGCCCCTATGGGGCCTCGAACGCGGCTCCGCCTACGGTTAGGAGAGTGACCAAGCCTAGGCCGAATATGGCTCCAAAAGGCTTCAATTCTCTTGCGCAGAAGGAGGGAGGAGGAAGAGGAGGAGGAGGAGGAGGAGGAGGAGGAGGAGGAGGAGGAGGAGGAGGAGGGTTCCCCCCCGAACGTTTTCTCCTCAGGTCTACTACTGCTGCGCGCCCACCTTCCTGCGCCTTTTTCTGCAGGACCTGGAGTTCGGCGCCGAGAGGCCGTGGATGCTGTTGCACGGCGCGGGGTTCGCCGCGTGCTACTTCGCCGTATCGCTCTGCGTGGGCGTTTCGAAGTGGTGCTCAGGGGAAACGTCAGGGGTGATGTGCTCAGGGGGGGTCTGCGCTGCCCCCCCATCGCCCACTCATCGCCGATGGGGGCCCAATAGCCCACCCCGTCCAGCAGTGTGTAGTTCCGCCATCGGGGCCTAACGCTGATGTACGGATGATGTATCACATATTCCAGGCCGATGTTCTCCCCCAGAATCGGTCCCCCCTCCCAGGTACGGGCAGGTTGCGGGCACTCAGCTCCGCCTGGCGGTACAGCGCCTGGTCTACAATGCTTGCCTGCTGATGCCGGTAGACGGTGTTGCTGGCGTGAGCAGCCCGATGAATCTGATGTCCGTGGATGCGGAGCGGTTTTTCTTGGTAGTCAACGTGTCCATGCCTCACATCTTCGCGATGCTGTGGGTATTCCCCGTGCTGCTCATTTTCCAGTTGGGCGTTGCGCCTGCTGCCGCGTGCATGGCGAGCACAATCTTCACCACGCTGCTGCAGAGCAGAGTAGCGCGTAAGATGACCAGCGCTTCGCGGCGGCACGGCCAGACATTGCCAGAGCCTCGGAACAAAACGGGGAAACGTGCCAAAGAGGAGGGGAGGAGGTGGATGATGATGATGAGGAGGAGGAGGAGGAGGAGGAGGAGGAGGAGGAGGAGGAGGAGGAGGAGAAGGAAGAGGAGAGGAGGAGGAAGAGGAGGAGGAGGAGGAGAAGGAGGAATGAGGAGGAGGAGGAGGAGGAGGAGGAGGAGGAGGAGGAATGAGGAGGAGGAGGAGGAGGAGGAGGAGGGAGGGCTTGCGGTATGCGGGGGCTTCTAGCCCGTGGGTGGTTCCTTCGCACGGCTGGTGACCTCTTGGTGCCGTTTCGGGGTCAGAGGGACGCCACAAGGCGCAGCGCGCTCGACCAGAACTGGATGTTCTCTTGCGATGGAGGGTGCCGCCCGTGCAGTTTCGTGGGTTCGTCTCAAGGGCTTGCTAGCGGCGTCCTGAGATCTTCAGGCCGCTCCTGGAGCTGAGCTGGAGCTGTCTCGGGCCGTCCTGGGACCATGCTGGACAGCAAGACGTGTAGAGCGATGCTTTCATGTCATCGGCGACGTCTTTCTGGTCGCAGCGGCGTGAAGCCTAGCCGCTCTCAACGGCAGACGTGGGGTGCACGCGGCCGAAGTGGGTACGGCGGGCGACGGGAGCGGGAGGAGCGCGCTGGGGGAGGGAGGAGCACCCTCAGAACGTGTGGTCCTTGTGCGTGAGCGCTGGAGCGCGAGCACAGCGTGGAGGTGGAAGTCCATGTAGGAGCGGAGCTCGAGGTAGGAAGCCACTATCCAGGGCGTCGCGGCGACGTGGGGCACGCGGCGCCGAGCAGCAACAGCCGGGGCGCGCTCCAGGGCGAATGGCGTACTTTGACGGACCAGTTTCCGCCACGCGCAGAGGGGGGGTAGGGGGAGGGGGGAAGGCTTCTCAGAGGGAGGCTGCTTCTTTGAAGGCGCGTACCTTGTTTGTAGATGCAAGGCACGCGCCTTCCAAGACGCAGCCTCCTTCTCAGAAGCCTTCCCCCTCCCCCTGCCCTCCTCTGCGCGCGCCAACAAGTCGAGCTGCCCGATCAGACAACGAATGGGCTGGGGAGCCTGGCCGTGATGTGGTTCGGGGCATGGGGGCGATGTAACGAAGACTGATTCTCGAAATGCAGTGAATGTAGAGACTTGATACAGCCAAGGCTGCCGGTGAGTTGCCTTCCTAGCAGGCTTCCCCTGGATTGTCATCGAACTTTGATGTAGACGCATCTTAGAGCTTGCCTTGGTGACTCGTTTGGGACTTCATGCGGTCGCTGTGACGGCAGTAAGAAGCTTTGTCGCAGGGCTCGTGGCCCTGTGTGGAAGCGTCTTGGGCAGCGCCGCGACCCCTGTGAGACCATCTGTGAGAAGAGGGGGTGAGGAGGAGAACGAGGAAGATGAGGACGAGAATATGAGGAGGACGAGGAGGGGGTATGCAGGAGGGATGCAGGAGGGATGCAGGAGGGATGTAGGAGGAGTGGGAAGCGGGGGAGGAGGGGGGAGAGAGCATTCAATGCCAGCGTTAGACATCAGAGCCAGGTTCGGGGCCATCGTGGGCTTTTCTCTATGTTTCGGGGGCTGATCCGTCCTGTGGTCGTCTTGGAGCTGTCTCGGGACGAGAAGGCGCAGTGACACACATTGTTTCTTCGGACACGTCTCGGGCTTCCGCAGGGCCTTCTTAGAAGTGTCTGGGTACGGAAGGCGTGCGTTTCGCCCCAAACGATTTCGCCAGCGACGGTTTCGCCCACGAGCGAACCGGGTTCGGGCGAAACCCTCCTGGGCGGATTCTTCACCAGACGAAAAAAACATTGGGCGAAACTAGCCCGCGCGAAACTGACCGGACGAAACCAGCCAGGCAAAGCGGACTGGGCGAAACTGACCAGGCGGAACGGACTGGGCGAAACAGACCAGGCGAAACCGGCCGGGCGAAAACGACTCGGGAAAGCAAAGGATTGTGGGCGCAACGGATCGGACGAAACGCAACGCACCAGGAGGCGGGGGGCGCAGGAATAAGAGGGAGGACGGAGGTCAACGAGGAGAACGAGAACAAGGGGAATTCCGCCCGGGCGGAAGCATCCGAACGGAAACGACCAGGCGAAACCCACCAGGCGAACGCGATCAGGCGATCTCGAACAGGCGAGCGCGATGGGGCGAAAACGACGGCGAAAACGACCTCGCGAAAACGACCAGGCGAAAACGACCAGGGGAAAACGACTGGGCGAAAACGACGGCTGGCGAAAACGGGTTCGGCGAGATTGCGCGACGGAATTCGTTCAGGCGACTCTGCTCCAGCGGATTTTCTCTGCGAGTCCTACTAGCTCCTCCTACCTCGCTCTCTTGGCTTCTGCATATCCTGTGTACTTCTCCTCCTGCCTCATATTCCTCTTCATACTCCGTTGTCCTTCTTCCTCCTGCCTTTTCCTTCTCCTTCTATTTGTTATCATATTGCTGTTGCTTCATCCCTTGCTACTGTGTCCTCCTCATGCTTCCCTCTGCATCTGCCTTACTGTCTTTCTTCTGCCTCATCCTCCTGCTCCTCTTGTCTACCTTCTAGCTTCTTCTCGTGCTCCTCCTGCATCCACCTGCTGCGTTCTCTCCCGCCTCCTGCCTACTCCTGTCTCCATCTCCTCCTCCTCCTTTCCTTTTTTTCCTCCTCTTCCTCCTCTTCCTCTTCATCCACATTATCACCCTCATCCTCTCTCCGTCTCGTTTGGTCTCCTTCTCCATTTTCTTCTCCTGGCCATCCTGCCTCCTCCTGGGGGCAGATGGCAAGGAGGCGGAGGATCGCGGCAGGAGGTAGGACAAACAAAGTGGAATAGTCTTTGTTCGCTTCCAGGCGTCGGGACGTCCGTCTCGCGTCCGCTCGCCGTGGATACAGCGTGAAGCGCGTGCGCTAGAATGGCGAACGTGGGGTCGAAATGTGTTATCGATCGGCGCGCGCATTCTCCAAATTAGGGCGGGGGTCGCTGTCGTCGTCGTCGTCGTCGTCGTCGTCGTCGTCGTCGTCCGTAGCCATTTTGGCTCAAGCCATTTTGGCTCAAGTGGCTATATCGGGCAACCCCCGCCTCGAGGGCCGAGGCGGCTGCGCGCGATTGCAGTCCTGGAGAACGCCCCTGGACAGGGACTTCTGCATTGTGAATTTTTCTTCACTCTATCCCTCAGGCATTTTGCTGAGTATTGTAAACACCATCCCAGAAGATCAGTTCTTGTGCTGCCATGGCGGACGTGGCGGGGATCACCGAGCTCCTCCGCAAGATGAACGAGAGCCAGATGGCACAACATCGTGAGCTGCTCGAGAAGGTCTCTGCAACGGAGGCCTCGGTGCAGGCGCTGCAAGGCTTGCAACCACAGGTGGTGGCGCTCGAGGACTCTGTGTCGACGCTTGACAAAAAGGTGGATGCGAAGTGCGCCGAGTGTATGGAGGCAGTAAAGGCACTACAGACACAGTATACTTCTAGGCCTGCGTCGTCTGCGAGCTCCGTCCATAGCTGGTCGACAGGTGCCAAAAGACGTCGTGGAGAAAGTTCGCAGGCCTCAACTATTGCTATGGAGACGAGCGGTGGACCAACTGACTCCCAGAATATATGTCGCAGGTGGATTGGGACTTTCCCTAGAAAGGTACTAGATGTGACACGCAAACAAGTATGGAGTGAGATCTTAGTTCAACTACCCCCGTCTCTTCCTGCTGCTGAGGCATCGCCTCACTTTCAACGCTCTTCGCAGAGTTTCAGTGTGATTTGGTCGACTGAAGAACAGGCTCGTGACTTCTCAACATGGTTTGGTATGAACTGTGTAACCTGGAAGGACCCGCGCTGTGGAACAGTGCCACAGCTTCGCTGCCGTGGCGACCTACCTCATGAAGTACGAATGCGACAACGACACCTTGGACAAGCATGGATGCCGCTGATGAAGCTACTCCGTGCACACCGGGACTGGACCCCTCGGTGTAAACTTGGGTGCTCTGGCTTCTCGAACGCGATCACGGTGACGACGGACAAGGACGTGTGGGACCTGGTGCGCGTGGACTCGGACGGCCATGCTGAATGGGTACAGGACGATTGTGAGGACTGGGGCATCACGGCGGACTTGGTGAAGCCGATCATCGACATGCTCAACCTCAGCTGGCAGGCTCCTGTAATGAATGAGGACTGCCGCTCTTTTTCTGTTCCCCCCTCGCACTCGCCGTCGAGTGTGATCCCTCCGCCTCCTCCCGTCTCTTGGGTTCCTTGCAGTCGTTTTAGCATTGGGTCATGGAATTCAGCGACTCTTTTCGGTGCTGAGAGTGGGGACCACAGGCACCAAAGCCAGACCTTTAACACGTTTTTGAGGCTTGCGGAAAAATTCGATGTTCTCTTAATTCAAGAATCTCACGGACACCTTGGGGACTTAGATACCCTCTCTCGCCTCCTCCCTCACCACAAATGCTATGGTTCCTTCTGCGATGATATGATCTCTGGGGGCGTCCTTACCTGCATCCACGAGCGTCTTCATATGCAGTTCGACCAGTTTACACCGATGAATGTTGTTAGTGGCAGATGTCTAACTGTTGATCTCCATGGGCCTCGAGGTGCTCTTCAGCTCTGTTCTCTTCACCTTCCTCCTAACGACTCGATGACTGGTAAGAAAGAATTTCTCTCGTGTGTTTCGCGTTCTCTCGACCCCCGACATATGACCGTATTCATAGGCGGTGACTGGAACTTTTGTGCGATGGGCGAGGCCCGTCAACATGTTGATCCAGCTCTGGATCGTACGCCACGTTGCTCGCTTGCCACAGAGTTTGGTCTTCTTTTCTCTCGCTTCACCGAGTTTGGACAGGAGAACCATACACACTGCATACAGCGTGATGGAAAACTTGTCACCCATCATCCTGGACCTCTCTCCGGCTGCTGGCGTCGAATGGCAGCCCGCGGAGCTTCGTGATGTTAGTGATCATGTTCCGGTATACGCTATTCTTGCAGTGCTGTCTCCCAACTCCTGCGCAGTCATCCCCAAGTGGGTATGCCGTCAGCCTGGATTCACGTGGAAGGTAGAAAAGCTGATC